ATCTATTTCAACATAGGAGTTTTCAGTTTCTAGAATTTCGATTAATTTTGTTCTAATGGATTTTTTAAAAGAGTTCTTGGATAAGTTTTTAAGACTAGCTGGTATCCCATTCCAGATTTTAACGCCAACACCGATAGCCGAATAGCCGATGTTGTTGTCTTCAAGTGTCCAGATGTTTTACTGAGTTCGGTAGAGTTGCCGTGCTTTGCGTGTTGGAACGATGAGGTTTAGTTGCTGTAGTGGGTCTTGAAGTCATTTGCAGCGAGGCCGATGTTTGAATCCGCCGAGTTGTTGTCTTTACGTGTAACGGTAGCTTGGTAGATAACATATTGTTGGAGACAGTTTCCGTCTAGTGGACATGAGTTTTTCTGTCGGCAGTTGCATTTCTCGTTATTGTTAGCGGTAGCGTCGGTGGTTGTGGCGGCAGCATTAGTCTTTACGTGGGAAGTCGGGACTCTTTTATTGTGGTTGTCAATGATTTGTTTTGTTTTGTTCATGCAGCAGTAACTGATCTTGATTGTGTTTGCGAAGCTTATGGTCTTTAGGGAAGTGTTTGTCTATTAGCGCGGGGAGTTTATGCCCGATGTTCGTGCTGGTGTTCTCCACTGTCGTCTAGCGCTTTCTGGTAGGCGGGAGTGGCTTGGTCGGAGCAGGCTTTGTCGGATGAGAGAGATGATAAGTGTCTGTTGATACCGGCTGAGATGTTCTTTGTGGCCATCGGTGGGTGGTTGCTCTCGTGGTGGACGTATGATGTAGTGTTAGGCTTTGTGTATAGTTGGTAGGTGTTTTGGCTGAGGTTAAATGTGACGTCTAGGAAGTTGATTACTTGTTTGTTGGCTTTTATGGTGATGCGGAGTCCGTTGGCGTTAAATGTGCGGCATATCTCTTTCTTGATGTTTTTTTGTGCCCCTAGGTATGGCGTCAATGGTGGCAAGTCCGTCATCTCGGTATAGTCCAACATTTATGTGAAGATTCTGTAGCTGGGAGAAGAGGAAGTTTCGGACAAGTTCACAGGTTTCAGCCACGTCATAGCTGCCCATCGTTACGTCAAATGTTGTGTTACCTTTTTTGTTTGCCAGGGTTGCTGTTTGTGGGTTAAAGGAGCACTCTGATGAAACCGCCCTATAATTTGAAAACTCGAAAAATTAAGTTAGTTCATTATAATATGAATTTTTAGCGATTAATAAAGCCTTTTCAATAATAATTTTAGTTGAAAGTCAATTCTAGGGCGAGAAATTACGATTTGAAAGCCGTTCCGCCATGAATTTTCGTAATCAGTTGCCAGACTCAAAGAAGACTGGCGCGAGTTTGGAGATTACTCATTTGACGTGCCGTGCTCGTGGCTAGTTTTCAAAAACAGTA